ATGCTTGCAAAACCCCCTCTTTGAAGCAATTTATAATGTTTTTCAGTGCCATGCTGAGCTAACCATGAAGTACCCTCCTTTGAATATAAATTTGATTTTCCACCCCAGTACACAGCAGGGTACTCCCCAGTCCCTGCAGAACCCAGCTCTGGCGAGGTGGGCAGCAGCTTTGGTCTGTTCTTCCAGGCAGCCTGCAGTGAGCACAAACACCCACAAAGAGCACCCAACCTCCCCTGGCTTCCTGGAGCCTCAATCCTCACAGAAGGTCCTGCTCACAGCTGGAGATTAATTTGGGATGCTCTTTTTGCATCAGGATTCACCAGTGATGACACAGAACGGGGCACTCAGTCACCCTCATCCTCAGGGTCTGTTCCCCCATTAAAAGAGGGGTTTTTTTGCATCCTTTGCCTCACCTCAGGTCTATCTTTTCCCTTCTCCTCAGGGGGGGGGAAAGATTGTTTAATAACCACATTTTCATGGTGGGTTTTCCTGCTAATCCTTTTGTAGGTGAAACTCCCTTGTTTCCCACAATCTAAGAGCCAGTTTTATCCTGGGGTAACCCACAGTACCATGAGTGGTGGGCACATATCTATATCCACCTTGTTTCCAGGTTTCTCATTGTCTGTTGGCTTTTGACACTTCCTAATTCCCACTCTCATGTACATTGAACGCAGGTGTTACTGAGGCACTAGTTCTGTCCTCAGCATGGCACTGAAAAACATTATAAAAAAATATTTAAAAAACAATGGAGGAGGTGTGAACAGTGGGTATCAGGTTGGTTCCACAGTCAGGTCTGTGCTTCTGTTACATTAAAGACCTCACAGTGAAGCAGTGAGCCATTTTCACAGCACACTCACCTCACACACAGGACTGCAACACAAGCACCTTCATTATTTCTAAACCTCTGCTCAGAACTGGCTTAACCAGGGCTGGATTAAACCCGTGCCTCCTAAGCTCAGCTTGACTCTGCTGTGGCCAGAGCCTCAGAAAGAAGAGCACCTGCTGGTCTGACTCTCAGCCCAAGAGAAGCAATGAAGCCCCATTTTCCCTGTGGGAACAGCTCTGAGCTCCCTGCTGCAGCTGAGGAGTTACTGCTCAGCTGTCCCCTGAGGGCAGACCATGGGCACTGTGTGTGCATCTCACCTGCCAGAGGTTCCCTGCACTGCCCTGCTCCCCTGCAGGGACCTGCTGACATTCACCCCCCTGTGACCCCAGCAAGCCACAAAATGCACACTCAACCACAGCTGCTCAACCACGCTGACAGAGAGAATTTCTGACTTTTGCTTTTCCTTACAGTGGAAAGAGCTTTAGACACCACAGCTCTAAACCACGGAGCTCTGAAAAACAAAAACAGGATGTCTGCCTCTAAAGCTGCTGCTGTGTATATTTTTCCTGAGACTGTGCTATCAGGGACCAGGTTGGTTTAATCTTTCAGTGCAGTCTATTGGCCAAATTATCTTTTTCCTGATGGAAGGTTAAACTCTGGTGTGAATGACAGAAAATGTTGTCATGGCCAAGGGTTCATGTCATCACAATAAAAATAGAAGCAGCTGGACATAAAAAAAATTTAAAATACTAAGTTTAAAAGTTATTGGGTTCTCCTTCACTATTGCAAAACTCCAGTGATTCACTGATGAAGTCCTCCTCTGACTGGTTCATCAGAGAATTTGAAATATTAGGTGAGTAACTATGTCAGGCAGTGAGGCAGTCCAAACATTTCTTGCTAAAAATAGAACTACTTATCAACTGACTGAAATTAATATATTTATTTCATCCATCAGAATTGATTAATCTCTAACACCATTATTTTTATTCAGCTTTGGACACCTCAGAAGCAGCCATTATAAACCAACAGAGCTCTAGTCAGGTCAGCAGCACATGAGATTTTTGGTTCCTGAGAAAATGGGCCAAAGATACCCAGCAAGAACTTCAGGCAGCCACAGAGTTATAAACTGAATATGATGCTTTTGTCCCCTGGCTCAGGAGTTGTTCACATTTGTGCAGAGATCACCAGAAACAAACACTATCCCAGCTGTCTAAGGGATCCAAAGCAGCTGTGTTCCTACAAAAAGGTCTCTCAAGCTCCATTTTCCAGCTTGCTGCCTGATTTCACTGACAGCTTCTACCAGCTTACCTTCTCCAGGCTTGCATGGACCACTCACATCAGAATTCCACAGGTGGATGCATCCACCACTGACACCTGGGCAGTGCTGCAACACATTGAACTGGTTTGCTTTCAGTCAAATATCACCTTAAACATTAATATCAGCAGTTTTCAAGCAGCCTGGTGCTTGCTTGGCAACACCCACCTGAGTTACTGTGATGTGAATCTGCTACACGTGTGCAGATTGATGGGACAGAGGCTTGTCTAAAGCAATGAAGCTCAAGGGTAAGAAATCTGTTTTCCTGGGATATCATTTGCTCTTCCCACACAATGGAGGGAATTTGCAAGAGCGTGTGGCCTAAAGCAAAATTTATGTCACCAGAGAGCATCTCTGCTGTCATCCATCCAGCAGAGCAGACTTGATGAGCACCTATTGTTCACATTACAGAAAACAACCCTCAAAACATTACAGTTGTAGACCTGGCACCATGTTTAATAATCAACACAGGAAGCTGAAAAATGACCAGTGACAGACTTTGAAATAAAGGTTTACTGCAGGATTGATTTTGTAGCTTAGAACACTTGCTGAAGGCAAACAAAACTTTAGCTTTTGGCAGCTCCTCAAAGTCAAAGTTGAGTTCACAAAGTGCCTCACGTGAAACTGTCATCATTGTGGGATCCTGGCATGAACTGATATGTGAAAGCCAAGTTTTCACTTATTTTGCAAGTTGGGAAGGCTCACTGTAGGTTCATATATACTTACACACCCACACACTCCCTTTTGGCTGAATTTTACTCTTGGAAGTGTTTTTGTTTTATCATTGACTGTTTTTATGACTCTAGGATGAAGACTTGTAACCCTAATTAAGGGAAAAGCAGAAGTCACACTGTTTTGGAAAGCTCACACACCAAAGCAGCACACACCAAGACTTACCTGCTTACACTTCTGCCAAAAGACAAGATAAATAATTACACTGACTATATCTAATATTGATTGTGTGCCAGGAACATACAGTGTTAATATCTCACTGTTTGCATTGAAATTGGGAATTTAACCTGGATCCATAAATACAACACATTCTGTGCTCCTCTCATAATGTTCACAGTTTAAAGAAGGAGACACTACACATTTCTGCTCAAGAATCAACTTGACTCTAAAATTAATGCATCCTAGTAGGTAAAAATGCAGACATGGAAAATGAGATGATCAGTATTATAGGTGAAAACTGCTATGCTCAATTTAGAAACAGAAAACTAGATGAAATGATGTTTTGGCTTTGTTCTTACATGGCACCTTTATAATTTCTAGCCTTATGTTTTCTATACATTTGAAGTTTCTTACTAGTGTTTAGAAGCTATAATTTATACATATGTTTTTTATTGTGGAACTTAGAATATAAAAATCTTTAATTTAGCAATTTCAGTTGCAAGATCATTCTGCTTCCATACACTTGACATCCAGATCAAGAGGAATTAATGATTTCACAGTATATGACTTTAAACTGTGTAGCACAGTACTTAAAACCTCTCCATATTTCAATTTCTTTTTTCTTTTGTGTACTTGATTATCTTTCTGCTACTCCTTATTTTTCCCACAAGGGAGAAATTCATTTAAAAAAAAACAATAGGAGCTAAAAATACAGGTACAGTTTGCACTACAAAACATAAGTCACAATACCACCATTTTTCATGCACTAAATTGTAGAAACAAGATTAGATCTGAGGGTTTTTTTCCTCAAATGCAAAACCCTTTGCTTGCACTGTGCTGAATAAAAAGAAGAAAAAAGACCAATTTGATAGAACAATTTAGAATTCTCTGATTTGAAGGCAAGGCCAATATGACATGTTGGGGAAATACAAGGACTGGGATATCCTATATGAAAGCACAGTACAGTTACTACAGATGTAGCAGACACATCATCTCTATGAGTTCCCTGGACAGAAATCTTTTTCTTTTTTTTTAACCTCAGATAAAGTGTTTTTCCAGTGACAAGCCCAAATGCTCTCCTGCAAGAGTGATCTCAGCTGAGTTTTTCACCAAATTACCATAACATTCAAACATCAACTTCATGAGCCTGTTAACTGAGGAGGTCTCATCACAGCATTATTTGTATTGGTTTCTGATGGGAGATAAAACATTGCTATGGCACCTGGATGTTCTAGTGCATCCAGGCCTTGCCCTGTGTTTTAATGCTTTGGTTTACATTTGAAATTTACTCCAGAATCCCCATGCCCAAAACAGGACATGTACATTACAGGACCAAAGCATGAAGGTTACTCAAGATCCTGATAAAACACAATATAAAGTTGTCCTGCAGGATTATTTTAGTTCCAGAAGTATTTGTTAAGCCAAGTAAAAGCAGCAACTCAATAATTGCAGTGAACTCCCTGATGGGGATTTTCTGTCCTGGACAATACTTCACTTTCATATTTGTGGAACATTATTTCCTTAAAAGTTTGCCTGCTTTATAAAAACATTACATGAGGTAGCCTTTCTATTTTCAGGCTGTACCTATAAAGGACTATTTCATTTAGGTGTCCAATCAATTCATATTATGACAGCTTCAGAGCTTAACCTGATGGGGCAGTCTACAAGTATAAAACTGTCTGTAAAGCTTACAGTTCTCAGAAACTGTTTCAGCTGCCTTAAAAAGTGGGAAAACAGACACCAAGACTGCAAGTCACCTACCAGTGAGCAGTGCTGCTTTTCCAAGCACCTGGCTACTTCCACCAAACTTCAGGTTAAACTAGGAAATGTTCACATTTAGTTAAACAAGACCAAACCCACAATCACTTCAAGTGCAGCCAGCCAGCAGAAGCATAACTCTTAGTGGCAGGTGTCCCTCACTGTTAATGAGCATTTAATTGATGAGTTAAGGAGCTGCTGCTCACTCACTGTGCCACGTCGGACGCTGCTGGCAGCAGGGACTCCTCGGGTACCAGGTCAATGTCATCAGTGAAGCTGCTGGCCCGTGACATGTCTGGGGTGTGCCCTTCCAAGCATCTTCTCACTGCACAAACGATGCAAAGAGATCATAATACATTAGGGAGACCAATCCACAAGCTCTTGCCATGGCACATACATAGCTCAAACACAAGGAACCTCCTTCAGGAAAGGATTTTCTTCTTGAGGGCTGTCCCCTGCGAACAGAAATTCACCACCTCTGCAATATTGGTGGTGGCAGGACAATACAAACTATCATATTTCCATTTCCTCACTCAACACCGTCTGATATGTATGCTTTAATACCTTCAAAACTATTATTTGAAATGCTTTTATCATACAAACAGAACACTTGACACCAAAGTGCTCTCTGGTCACTATAACCACCAGTGTTCCAAATTTCTCCCAAGAACCAGGAAGCCTCAGATGGCTGGATGCAGTTGGCTCTGCAGGATAACCATGGTGGATACAAGCTGTGCTGCAGTTTAGCTCACGTTCCAAGTGTTACAAAGGTACAAATTTCATTACAGATTTGGAAAACATACAATGGCCAACAAAAGAAGGTGTTCACTAAGACACTGCAAAAATCAGAGAAGTGCAGCCAACACTGTAAGTGGTAAAAATCCAATGTTTTCTAAAGTTTTCCATCCAATATTGGGCTGAACTCATCATATATGTGTGGTGTACATGTACCTGTCTAAGTTCAGATGCATCAATATTCAAAGCTATTTCTGCTGCAAGTTCTCTTCATTATCTTTTCCTACATTAACTTGGTTCAAAAGCTATAAAGCATATTTAGCTTAAGTTGCAATGATCTAAAAGAAATTTTGTTCATGATTCCTGGTGAATCTAACACTTTCTAAGGAAGCTACCTATAAATTTGTCTTCTCATCATCCTTGAAAGCATAGCACATGAGCTGACAGAGTCTAACTTGGAAAATGCATAGGATGACACATGCAAATTCAAGGGAAGAAAAAATAAGTGTGTGTGGGTGAATCACTAAAATTAAGCATCAAAACAAGTAAATACTAAATAGTGCCACGGGTATATGCTGTGATAACAACCCACATGACAGAAATAAGAAACCTTGCCTCTTAGGAAATGAAATTGTTGAAATCTCCAGTTAATTCCCGAACAACACTTTAGCTGGATTTCATTCAAGTTCAAGGTAAATACTAAAAAGCCCACAACACCAGAGATTGCTATTGGGAGAGCCATAACCCAAGTGGCAAGGAATGAAAATGAAGTCCATAGAAAAGAATTATCAGTGTGATTGAACTCTGACAAATGACATAAAATGACAAAGCTATTTTATTTATCTCTGTTGCATTTAATCACAAATAAACTGTGTGTTTCCAGGGGAAACCCATATTTTCCTGGCACTGGGAGCATGAACTTCTGTGCTCTCCCAGCACTACTGAAACACTTTGGCTCTTCTAGAGGAGCTTGATTTTGTGAGACCTGCCAGTTTTGCATTTGTTCTGATACACTTTTTTCCTGTAAGAGAACTGTGTGGCCTCCCACTTTGCCAGACAAAGCCTTGAAGCACACAGATCCCACATTTGAAGTATGGCTTTGGGAAGCACCAATCTCTGAACAAGTAACATGGCACACGATCACGTCTGCAAAATTCAGCTGGGGGAGTTTTGGCTTCAGCTACAGTAAGGTTTTCCTCATAGGAGCTTAGCAAAACTTGGGAGTGTGCCAAGGCACAGCTTAAATCACTGTGCCCATAAAAGGCACATCAGATGAACAGGAAAACTCTGCATTGCTATCAATTCCTACTCCACAATGAACTGCTGAAAGCGTCAGAGCAGCGTCTAGTTAACTCATGGCAGTTTGCCTCCTTCATAGCACTGCATAGATACTAAAGTTACTGCAATGCATCTGCCATGAGAAGTCATAAGATTATATTTTAGTCCTGTCGTTTTAGGGGTTTGGTCTGTTATTGCTTTATCAAACACCTCTCTGGCTCATCATCCCCCTGTTTGCAATCTGCATCCAGGCACTCCTAAAGAGCCCAGAAAACCCTAATTGCTCACATTTGGCTTGCTAGCTCCTTTTCTGAGAAGTTTTCCCTACTGCAATGTGCCCCACAGCACGCTGGTTCTGAGCAAGGGAGGACGACAGCAGGAGCCAGTTTCCAAACCTTTGTGTCCTCACCATTCCCATGTGCTGTGCTGAGCAGCTCTGCTGCTCCTGCAGGTGCACCTGGAGCCTGCCCTCTGACCAGGGACCTTCTGCTGGGATGTGGGGAACCCCACCCTGGGATTTAACAGCCTACGCAAGCAGGACAAGCTTCTGTTGTGCATTTACATAAGGCAAAACACTCAAATTTTCCCTTTGGAGAGGACTGCTGTGATTATCTGCAGGAGTCTTGTTCCCCAAGGAGGGCACATTTCATTCCTGCCAGCACTTGGAAAAACACAATGATGTGATTATGAATTCCACACAAACAGGAGTTGTGTAACACATACTCTGTAGTTGATTTTATCAGCTGAATGGAACTTGTGCACTTAACTCCATAAAATTAAGTATTTGGGTCACGTCTTGGAGGTTGCCTCACTGCTTTCCCTCTGCCCTCCCATGGTCAGATCCATGGACAGAACCATTTTTGCCATTTTGGTTGCAGACTAGATTTATCTCAAAAGTATTAAGAGAAAAAAGAGCTGCTCACAGAAGTGCTGCTCTAATATATCAAAATAAAGGAGAAATCACAGCTCTGAGGCTCATCATATTTGCATGGTGAGATTTGAGATTCCCTGCTACTCTCAGAGCCACTTGACTCAATTCAAAGCATTAGTTTTGGAAAGTATTAAAGCTATCACCTTTACTCGCTTTATCACCTAAAGCGAGTAAGAGAATACTCGCTTTATCCATGCAACCCTAAAAAAAGTTGTTTAATACTGATTTCCCTCTATGCTTTTAGAACTCATTCATTTTATGTGTTTCTGCTTTAAAATATTAATACATGAATAATGTGTTCTGGTCCCTAAATGAATACTAATGGTAAATGCATGTAACACATGGTATTTTCTAAATATTTTCTGTCCTTTAAGTGACTGTCAGAATTGTGAGCAGTTATTTTCTTATTCAAAACACTCATTCTGGAACCAACTCAGTTTTTGAAATTAACTCACTTTCCCTGAACTTCCAAAACTCATTTAGACAGCAATGTTCAGTCATAAATCAAAATTCCAAAAAATCACACTAAAAGGGACAATTTCTTTTTTAATGTCAAGAAGCCATAAGCTCCTGAGAAATAAAGTAATTAATAATAATCACTCATGATAGTGCTTTCACTTTAAGGAAATATGGGGCATTATAATACATTCAACACATGGCAGTGATGCTTTCCAGAAATAAAAGTCCAAGTTGTAAGGCCCAGCTACTACAGATGGTAGTTTGTAGCAGCTGCAGCTCAAGCCAGAACAACTCTGTCTTCCCTCTCTATATTTATTTTCATAAGATTTCCTTGTCCAAACTGACTTTATGGGAATTAATGCCCTACATTTGATGCTGCAGAGTATTAAGCAGGGGAGGCAAGGAAATATGAAGAGGGAAAAGAAGCCATCCCTCCCTTCCATGTGTTACTACTTAGAGTATGAAGAAGCTGTATGGTTTCATCATAAAATATACAATATTTTATGAGCATGAAAAGTTGGAAGCAGCAACTTGAAAATACAGGACAGTATCTAGCACACTATAACAAATTCCAGTGATGCCACAAATCCAGGGAGCCTCGAAACAGAGCAACTGATTAAATCAAACAGCAAAAAACCAGTTAAGTTTCATATACTTTTAATTTCTAAAATGGTGAAGTAATAAAATAAACATGTCAAAACATAACCCAGAGGTACTTTTTGTAATATTTTATCTAACCTTAGAGTCCTTATCTATATTCCATTAACTTCTGACTTTGTATTACGGGGAAAAGGCAAGTACCCAAATTAGAAATGAAACAGCAAACATGACTGCACTGTTGTGGTCATTCCCAAACAGACAATGCCACTCAACAGCAGGACAAAATAATGAGGAAGATGTTGCACTGTCTTCTTCTCAGGTAAAGAGGAAAAAAAAAAAGCAGGTCTCCAGGTCTCTGTTCCTTCAGTGCCACTGTCTTCTCATCACTTTCAGATTAGAAGCAGTTAAACCCTCTCTCTCATAATGCCAGGCTGCTCTACTCAGTACCACCAATGCACAGGACATAAACCTATGATTTAATTTCATATGTAAGGCTGCATCTTGACAGAAGATCCCTGGGATAACCATGCTTCCTTTATCTGCAGGGATGAACAGCCTGTGAGATCACACTGCTATGTCTTGTCTACTTTCCTGTGTCAGGAACTTGTATCACCTCACTAAAAATACTGAATTTGTAAAGCTGGACAGAGGCAAACTGGTTTGGGGCTGAGACTGGGACATCTCCAAATTCCCACTTTCCTCAGAAGAATAAAGGAAAGTCAACAGCCCAGAGGCCTGGAAGTTTCTGACACCTCAACACCAGCCTGCTTTTTAAAACCTCTTCAACTTTCTTTTAGTATCATTCATCTCAGCAGACAAATGGCATTTGAGCTCCTCTGAGGAGTCACGTTGGAATAACACAGTAAAATAGCATTAGCATGAAATTTTGGTAATTTCTTTACCAAAATTATAAGAGCTTTTCTTCATTACCATGTGAAGCTACAGTAGTCTCAGGAGTAGTATCAGTACTACTCCAAATAAAGATATTTTTACTTTATTTTTATGTAAAACTGTTACAAATCCGAGCATCTGAAGCTGTGACTTTACATCCTTACCACACACTCAAATGTAAGCCATCTGCAAATGCCACATACTCACTTTGTCCCATACACAGCTCTTACAGCTACAAGTACAGTTAAAAAAGCTCAGGCTATTTTCTGCAGCTAATTTTACACAGCTAAATTTATTATCACTATTCAAGATGTGGCTGATTTAAATTCAGGACAATATACAAGAATTGCATTTTGCCCCCAAAACACCTGCAGAATCACACCAAAATTAATTAAGCAACAGTTTGCAAGGAAAAAATAAATAAAATAACA